TTTTTACATAAATTCAAGCGTGAGTTACGAGATTATTCTTATTAGAATATGTAACTTAAATACTAAAAAGTTAAATAAAATTAAAGTAGTTTCATACAAAAGCATTGTTAAAATTAAAATCACATTTTTTCATACATTCAAGCGTGAGCTACGAAATTATTTTTAATACAATATTTAAGTTTAAGACTAAAACCTTAGATAAAATAAAAGTAATTTTAAAACAAAAACAAATGTTAAAATTAAAATCACATTTCCTACATTAACTCAAGCGTGAGTTACGAGACTATTAGAAAATTTAACTTAAAGACTATAAAAACTTAAATAAAATGAAAATAGTTTCAATACAAAGCCAATGTTAAAATTTAAATTTCATTTTGTATATAAATTTTTTTATTGGAACATGTAAGCTTAAGACTATAAAAACTTAAATAAAATCAAAATTTTTTCCAAACAAAAATAAATGTTAAAATTAAAATCACTTTTTATCCATAAAATCATGACTATTCTCGTTAGCATTAATAAACGAATTAAAATGAAAATTAGAAAATGTAATCAAGAAATGTGGAAAAAGTCTGCGTAGATACATCATTTATTTTTTAAATATTCACAATATTTTGCATGGTAAAACTTGTTTGTTATTTTTTTTTTATAAAAAATATGGATCATACTTAAAACGAAATCATATATTTAAACCAAGGTTTCAAGCTTTATACAAATTTAAGGAAAATTCAACGAATTTTCATCAAAATTTTAAACTATTTAATCAGAATTAAAAAAACAAGTTAAGTACACAGTTTCTTAGCCACTAAATTTCCGCACTTTATAATACTACAATTTAATTCTGATTAAAATGTTCACAATTTTGATGAAAATTCGTAGAATTTTCCTTAAATTTGTATAAAGCTTGAAACTTTGTGTCGAGGACATGGGTAACCTCATCGACTTCGACGACTAAATTATATGAATTTGTTATTTAATCGGCGTGCGGTGGCAACGCCTAATTTTATACCATTTTGAAATGAATTTAAATTTGTAGCTTTGTAGTTGTAAGCGGGTGGCTCGAGTCCGCCTTGTATATTTTTGAATTTGTCACTTCTGGTACGAGCACCGCCGCCGCCGCATTGCATTGTAACCTTGCTTTATTTTCCACTAACGCCACTCTGGCTAATTATTGTATCGCATTTTGAAATTGTTCAATTTTACATTAACGCCACTCTGGCTAATCATTGCATTCCATTAATTGAAACTTTCTGCAATCGTTACCGAAATCCATTGAAACGAGTTGTGAACATAAATCTAAACTTAATAAATATTTTTGTAAGTTGAATTGTATCAAAACCCAACCACCTTCTTTTAATTTGGCGGATTCAAAGGTCTCGTACATACCCTACGCTCAACTCTGCTACCCTAAGTATTAACATGGTCCTTTTCGTCAAAAAGGCAACCCGCGACCAAAAGTGAGCAAAAGAACACATATGTACATAGATAAGTA